TTGTAAATCAATCCTCTGCCAATGAATCCTTTGAAAATGATTCTGAACACCCGGGTCTAGTATACCTTAGCAGTGAGTGTGAGTACTTTACAACTGGTGTGTCAGAGATTTCCTCTACACAAGTGTCCCAGCTAAATACCTCAGACAAAGTTGACATTGCTAGAGCCATGGAAACGATTCAAACTAATGTGTTCAGCACCCATACTGATCTTGATGCACAAGTCTGCTCTCTATGTCAGCTTCTCCAGGTGTGGGTACAGATACTGGTTGGGTCGATTGGGTTTCTAAAACTTACTTTGTTGACATGTATGATCATTCATGCGATTCCAGGTTTGGCTTTATTGAGAGATTCATCTCTCATTTCTATTGCTGGTTTTTTATTTGTCACTCTTATCATATGTCTTATATTGGAGAAGATTTTCCAAGTCTCCTACCTGTCAAGTAAAGCATAAGGGGACTGATCCCAAATACATTTTTTATTTTTTTCTTCTCTTCTTATTAAGATTTTAGCCTTTCTCCAATATTATCATACTAAGGTGTAGTATGACACCCTATTCTATTTAAGATCTCATTTGAATGCACTTACCATGTCTGGTATCACATGCTTTATTTATGTCAGCTGATTTAAAGTAGATGCCCTTTGCTACCCAATTTGCCAAAAGCAGTTACTACTACTATTATCAAAAACTAGTGTGTGTGAAGACTTTTTTAACTTTTTTTTTTATGTCTGCCAGGACTTTACCCTGACCTAGTACAAGTACTGTGTCATCCACAGAACTTGTAGCAGCTGCTGCCTATTTTCCGGTTCTTAGAAGTTATTAACTTTGGTCACAGTCACAACTCAAAAACATTGTTTGAACTTCATTGGTTTCATTCAGGAGTGGCAGTGTGTGTACTTAGTTGCTAAGCAAAATCTCATACAAATTGACTATCTTGGCATGAATTTTGGCATTGCCTTCTTTAAAAGATTATTCAGCCCCCTCCAGGATCCATTCCTGCGGGATTGTAATCCCAGCATAAGCCTTTCAGAATTCAGAACCATTTCTATAGTCTGACATTTAACTATGTAAATCTTTGGATTAAGCTCGCTATCAATGATTTTTTTATGGAGTTGATAGGCATGTAGGAAAATTGATGGTTTGTATGGAAAACTGGGGGGGCACATTTCTTCTGTTGCCAGGCTCGTGGAGTGCCCTTAACACCGAATGATGGGTGATTTGGTAGCTGCTGTGATGTGCTGGGCGACAATGATGCATTGGGTGCTGGGTGGCAACGATGCGCCAGGTCATGGTGCGCAGCCCCTGGAAGAACTTGTTGTTTGCTCGGGAGGATCAAAAAAAGGGTCCTAACGCACCCAAAAGAGGCATCCAGGGCACCGCTTTCAGACCCTCATCGTAAAAGATCACTTCATGTCGTTGTCGTGCTGATTTTTAAATCTCCGTTTCTAAGAAGAACCAGCAACTGAAGTACCCGTACTTGTAAGGTATTCGGTGCTTTTTTCTGCATCAGGGATAGTTTAATCTAGTCTCACTCAGTGATAAGATTCATTAAGCATCACTCGACTACCGCACGTCTCTCGGCTCTTTTGTCAGAGGGTAGAGTCTATTACAGCATACGGCGGAATCCCCTACCCCGATTTAGTAAGCTCTCAAACTCGGAGTGGGGGTGCATAACCTCCTGTACAGTACAAACGCTTAACTTAGAAATACAGTAACCACGAGAAAGGTCTATAGCAAGGCTACCTTACTAACAATTCCTCACCGGCCACCCCCTGCCAGCGGTACGGTCGTTTAACTCCTGCATGTGCGGTACTCGATATAAGGGTGGGCCCATATATATATATTGGTGTTTAGTGACTTACTATATCGGTATTATCCTGCGATCTCTCTAGTAGAACCCAAGGACGAGAAGCACGCTGGTGGATATCACTTCACAAACTCCATCTTTGTAACCAGCTTCGAGGTCGGAAAAAAATTCAGCCGGAACGAAGCCGGAGAGCATGTGCTTGTTAACCATACCCGTGGGGACAATCAAGCCCCGGGCTTCAACCCGGATTCCATTCCAACACGCTTTTGTACTGCATACGTCGTGTTGTATGATATCATAGTAAATATCAAAGGTACATGTTTAAAGGGCGGTCCGATGTCCGCACTTTGGAATTTCCCTGAGTAAGACTAAAAAGAGGCTGTAGAAAAGGCGAGCTTCCAGTTCGGTAAGCTTAAGCCATAAGTCCAGGAGTCCACGCGCGGAATGGGGAAGGTATGAACCAACCGAGAACAAAGGTAAGGAAAATACCAATTAATGGGAAATCAGAAACACCCATGGCACTCGCCTTAAACCTTGGGTTCTGTGGCTGTCGCTCTTTTGGCACCTGCCCTCTTAGGGCACGCTCATTAGATATCCGGCCCTCTGAATGCCGCTCTAGAGATATGATAGGTGATCAATATTGTACGGTACCACCTCCTGGTTCCACATCTAGGAGCACATTTTGAGATCTTGGAGCGCACCCTGGTGTCCAGATATTAATCCAATAATTCGAATATTATACTACCGGTATCCCCAGGCCATAAATACCCGAAAACAGGGATTAAAGAAATCCTTGTATATAGCAAAACATCTGTGCGTGTTTGGGCGCCCATACGAACCATATCCCACTGTTTTCAGGTACTTATGGCCTGGGACGAGAGTGGAGCTCCGTTGAAGCAAGACTTTAGGCTCCTGCTCCGGATTTCAGGGATATAGATATGCGGTGAAGAAGGTACCCAGCATAGGTTTTCCCGTTCACTTCGTTACAGGTATTTCCCCGATCAATATAGGATATTTTCACAAGTACAAACCACAAATTAAAACAGTACCTAGGCCATATGGTTCCTCCCGGCGACTAGCACCTATGAGGTAATAGGCTCTCTTAGCCTTGTGATAACTCTTCTCATGACAGAATTTCTCATAAACTTCGATAAATGCGGTCAAAAATTGCAAACCATTATCAGAACCATGTCAATCTTGCTTGGGTGATGTTATTATTGAGCTCCAGGAAAGGGGTATCTCATTACCGCCATTATGGAAGCTTAAGGAATGCCTGTAAAAGGAGACCTACACTAGGGGAAATATTACTCCGAGACGTAAGCCGTAATGAGCAAAAAGCCTAACGGATCCAATTCCATTTCTAAGGCGGGCGCGTGCCACGTCGTGACCCGCCCCCCAATAAAACTACCTATGGGCGTTTGATTTTATTTCTGCAGTAATTCCACCATCACACCCCCTCACTCACCCTCATACAAGGTGGCCGGTTATTCTATGCTCTCCTAAATCTAAGAAACCTCCAACCAGCTTTGCCGGTCCAGACACGACGGAAGTGCTGTCCGACTCGATTTGATTAACTTTGTTCTACACAAACCTCCCTAACTTGCCATTTTTTTCAAATCTACGGGAAATAGTAGCTTCTAACCAGTTCAGCGTAGAAAACATAGCACTTCCTATGTGCCCCGCCGACACTAGTAGTGAAGGCGCAAAGACTTTGATCAGTTGGCCACCGCTGGAACGGCCTGTAGCGTTACGATAGTGCTGGTGTGGGAGACTGCCAGTGATTATGGCACCTCTGGAATCGAGAGCACACACCGTACTGTATGTTGAAGAGCGTAACGATATTGGCGAGCTGTAGTGGGCCACTAATTCTTTCTCCATCTGTTCCCGCTATGATATGATATAAGTTAACGCACGACTACTATATACCCCTTCACCAGAACCTAGGAGATTTGGGCACGTCGTACGTCCTCTGTCGGGCTCAACCAGAATAAAAATTGTATGTAGGTTTCTGTTATTTCGCTTTCGTTTCATGCAGTAGGCCGTCATCTAGAATACCAACCCGTACTTGAGCAGCCCCGCGCCTTCCAACTACTGCTGGTAACAGCTCTGGGCGGATCATGGACTAAGAGAAAATGCTGCTCTCGGTCAAGCTGTCTGATACATTACGAGAGGTTTAGGGAGGATATCCGGCAATTTAACAGGTAAATTTATCATAACACGATGAAGTTACCAAAAACAAAACAAAAAAGGGCCTCTTGAACGACTTTTGAAGACGAAGAAATACGTTCCCTGGTTCATAACTCATTATACGTATATATCGACCTCCCTCTACCAGCAGCAAGACTCGGACAATGGACACCGCAGGGCTGGTAGAACTCGCTTTCGGGCCAGGAGGTTAGAATAAGGTGGAATCCGGATTTTTCACAAAGGGACCCTCCCCGGTTACTTACTTACTTTAACTAAGTCTTGAATACGACGACCGTGGTAAACAGAGGCATTCAGCCCGGGGCCAAAAAAAATGTTTCTCGAGTGCCAGCAAATGTTTCCAACACTTATCCCACCCCCAAAGGATACCCTCTACTAACGACTCTGGTACTTGTAGAGGGAGGTCGATATAATGTTATTACTGTATGATATGATAGTATGATACCAGCATGATCCCAGTCATCCCGGGCCCTCCCTACACAATAGCAGCAACGTTTTTTTATCCCAGCAGAATGCAATGTTTCACCCACAGCATTCAAAATTAATCAATAAATCTCCTTTTTAGGGGGGGTGCCAGGGTAGGCATCCTGCCAAGCAGGGTCTGACACAGCTTATTTCCTTTTTTGGCACCTCAAGAAACCGTTCTTCAATGCTTAATATGTCCCCAGAAATTCCGAAAGAAAAAAAAAGATACCAACAAATACACTCAGACCCAGTGTATTTTTTAACCAAATATTTGTATCTTTTGTGGTTTTCTACGGCCGTGTTTTCTTGCTTGGAAGTTGAGATAAAAAACGTTGCCGATACCATACCGGTATTCCGCAGGGAGGGTCCGGGATTGGCTGATAGAATATGGTCTGATATTGCGATGATCAGATAACAACCTCCGCCTGATAACAACACCCCAGCCCTTACCCCTTACCGGTAGTCCTCCCCCCACATGCAGACCCCTCCTAAAAAAACTTTCAACGTATGACATACGACCAGAAAATTCACCAGACCTCAACCACAACTGGTCATCCGCAAGAATTTTAATGAAAACAAACAACTGCCGGTACACTCCTTTGAACCACCAATTGCCCTCCCCCCTTTTTTGTTTTCAATAAGTCCCAAAATGCGTGTCCTCGCCAATTCCCTTCGCTCAGTCCTCCTTCCACGTCTGGTGCGGGCGACCGTCACTCGACCGGTATTTAAGGTCCCGGTCGTTAGGCAATTGAGTACCACCCTCTCCCGTAGACTCGAAGACCTCACCGGTGCATCCAATTTCCGGCAGCAGCCGCGATTGAGACTCGGCACTGAAGCACCAAACTTCATTGCCGAGACTACACATGGGAAGATTGACTTTCACGAGTTCCGCCCCCCCTCCCTTCTCACCGCCCCATTCGATAGCTGATAAGGGAACAGATTCATTGGCGACAGCTGGGTAGTCCTATTCTCCCACCCGGCTGACTTCACGCCCGTCTGCACAACGGAGCTCGGCGCCTTCGCTAAGCTCGCGCCCGAATTCGCAAAACGCAATGTTAAGCTCATAGGCCTCTCTGCCAACGGGCTCGCCTCGCATGATCAGTGGACCCGCGACATAGACGAGGTCACCGGGTCCTCCTTCCATGGTTCCCGGCCCGCAGAGTCCTTCCCCATCATCGCCGACGAGAAGCGTGAGGTTGCCTGGCTGTACGACATGGTTGACACCCAGGATCTGACCAATATCGACCAGAAGGGGATCGCGTTTACCATTCGCTCTGTCTTCATCATTGATCCAAAGAAGAAGATCAGACTTACTATGAGCTATCCTGCGTCCACGGGGAGGAATACGGCGGAGGTGTTGAGGGCAGTCGACTCTTTGCAGACGGGCGATAAGAATGGGGTTACGACGCCGATTGACTGGCAGGTTGGGCAGGATGTTATTGTTCCGCCAACGGTTACTACCGAGGATGCTAAGGTGAAGTTTGGAGAGGAGAATGTCAGAGTGGTTAAGCCGTAAGTTTTCCTTTGACTCGCATTTCGTCCGCTCTTATTGTTTCGGGGAAGATAGCTAACTGGGATTTGGACGCAGATACTTGAGATTCACCACCCTTAGCAAGTAGAATGCCCGCCCTGTTGTCTAGGGTGTCTCTTGGTGCGGCAATTCTGGTAAATCAAATAGATATTTTTGCTATATGGAATTATTCTTGGATATTGTTAATAAAAATGGTCGGGCAACGAACACCAATAATTTTTACTATAGTTTCAGACAACCCTTTCCGATGAGCTCAACTATAGTACTGTACCTTAACGCCAACCAAGAAAATTATTATTTATTTTCAGACAGCTTGTTTTTGCGCATCACCAATTAGTTACCCTCCATGCCCTATATTTCTCCTTTTCAACGCGCCCCAAAACCGGGGAACCACGTAAGCCTTTTATGCGTCCCCTCATGAGAGTCCAACAAAATGCTACCTGCTAGTTGGGTTAACGGGTAATGGATCGTATTCACGTTTGATCACTCGCCGATGTCGATAATATGCTGCTAGCTCACAAGAAATGCCTACTAGTAACGGCTTGCAAACAGGTTGCCACTCTTTTGCCCCCCGATCGCCCCCGTAAATTAACACCAAAGTCCACCAATGCCTAACTATGAACGCCTAATTAATCCTCACCACCCAAGCCTACGAGCAAAGTAATTAGCATAGGGAAATTACCAGTAGAATGAGAGACACAAACCCGCCACAAATGCCAAGTACCAACTTTTACTCGCTCCGGGATCAAGGTATTCCTTGACAAAATCAGGGTTGGTAAAAAATGCCCAGCTACCCTTTGGATCGAAAATTGCCCTATTCGCTTGCAATATACCGTTCCACCCCCCTTCGCTTTTGTTCACCCTACCGTTTGAAAACCAGGTTTCCCATTCTTCTCTACAGAAAACTGGGTCGCGATACCAGGGTGATATAGGAGTGATTGGTATCATATGTATTCTAATTAGATGGTTAGTTGGGTATGAGAGGGGTGGACTGGAAAGGTCGGCACCCATGGATACGTTCGTTGACGTGACCGAAATAGGTTGTGTGGTCCACCTTGTTTTCAAACAGCTATACAAGACACATCAGCCCGGAAAGTCTAAAAAGAGGAAAGGTACACACACGATCCCTGTGACTTTATTATTTATAAAACCTGGGGGATGGTTTCTAGATCCACTTTTCAGTAGAAAATATTGATTGAAACTCCGCTTCATGACACTCAACATCAAATCGGCCCGGGCTTCCATTGATTTATCACCAGTTACTTTGCCCCAAAGCTTCTGGGAATATCCATAATTCATGTCTTCGCTTGAAGATTCCTGGTCTTTCCCATCTGCAGACTCAAAAAGGCCTTTGGCCCAGGAGTGGCCATGGAACCAGTCAAATGAGCGAGATTCCGGAAAATAGGGGTCCAATGTACTCGGGTTAGCCACGTCCCGTATGAGGATATCGACCCAGTCCCTGTTACGTTCCAACCAAGGTGATTTTCCTTTGTTTAGACTCTGCTCCAGCCGCACAATGACCGCAGCGGTATATACAAAGTATCCGTAATGGAAGTGGTGATCGTTATACATGCCGTTTCCGAAATCTGCCATCTGACCCTGCTTAATTGCACTGGTAATGAGCCCCTTCCAAGTTTCTAAGATGGGGCTTGGTTAGCAAAAGAATTTCAATAACTAACATGAACATTTAGAAAGAGATACCATCATATACGAGTGGCTGATTTTGACGGTTATTGACATAGGGATCTAGGGCTGTAATCAATTTCCCCAGCGCCTCCCGGATCAGATTTTCTTTTTTTACAACGTCGTGCGCTAATAAAGCGAATTGTGACCATTTAGCGAAAGCCTAAATATCAGGTTAGCTCGCGCTACGAATATTAGGCCGAGAACAACCTGCCTTCCCGCTAAAATACATGCTATTCAGATTCGTTTCGCCTATGATATTGCTCTTGATCTCACTGACTAATGTTCGTTCGATCAGTTCCGTTGTGTGTCTGTTCAACCTCTGACCGCGAGTGGCTAGCCAAGCAACACTCGTGGGTAGGTTTCGTTCAACCATTGTCCAACTATTTCCGCGGACAGCCTCCATAAGACCCTTCGTTGGGGATTGCAGCTTGAGGCCGGTTCTTCCCCTTAAGGTATTGTCATCAAAACTCGCAATATGATGCGGCAAAGCATACATCAATGCACCTTCGCACTCCTCGTCTCTCCAGCCTTTATACTCAAATTTGTAGCTCCCAACATCCCCAACCACACCTCCAGTCATTTCAACGGTAGCAGGGTACACGCCAGCCGCTGAATCCGTAATTTCTTCAAGACCACCCTTTTGTCCTTCGGCATCGGCTTTTGCAATCTGTATGACTCCTGTGAACTCATGGGATCCTACTAGCCCTTCTCCAGGATTATAGGTGAACTCTGGCGACTCAGACCCAACTGCTGGAAAAACATATAGAAGCCACATCCTTCCATCGGAAAGGCCTAACCTCCACTTTTGTGTTCCGTTGTAAGGACCTGAAAAGGCTTCTATTTTGACGAATTCGGAATATGAAGAAATAATAGGAGTCAGCTGGTCATATCTCCCTGTGATAAACCCCATGCCTTGCACTAGAGGAAAGGTTATTTTGTGTCCAATTGGCCCATATTTATTAGTATTCGCATGCAGATTGAGGTTGACGGAGCGACTATGTGGATTAGTTAGAGAGATGTTCGAGTGTCTCTCGGCAAATTCCTTAGCCGAGAATGTAATAGATGCGATACCAAGAGGAGAAATATAATATTGGTATGGATCAGCACTTGGAACGGGTCCTGTCACCTGCGACCGTTAGATATGTAACAGCTGTCACATGAGGGAAATCGAACTAGAGAAACTTACGAATTGGTGTTGCTCCGTATGGGAGACGCTTAGGCCGGGTATCTGACCCGTCTTATTCCACCAGATCATATATGGAAAGGTCCAGACGCCTTGGGTTTGGTTACCGAGAAAAAGGTTGGAGTAAAATCTTCAAGAGATTAGCCGCCACCCTCGGAGCGAATTCAATGATAATTGGCGCACTTGTTTGTAGGGAGAGGCTCCCTTGAGCTTGTCTTCGGGAAAAAACTCCGACGGACTGGGTGCTCAGAAAAACTGCTAAACTGCTGACTAGGAACTTTTGTGGAAATTGGTTCACTAAAGAGATCGACCAACTGGTTGCGGTCGAGACGGCCACCCCGACCGTCAAAATCAGACATTGTGATGTTGAGTAGTTGACGCCTGGCTTTTCCTGTGTGGAGTCGGGATCGAACGCCGATATTGAAGTGAGTGTCGTGTTTGCTAGCTTGTGCAGAGAGAATAAAGAGTGATAAAAAGAGGAATACGGGGGATAGTTTCCCAAACGCGGGGAGTCTGTGTGATCCGGAAGAGGTTATGAAAGTTAGAATACCAAGATTGCTCTGAGATAGATAGCGCAAAGGATAAACAATATAGTCTGAGTAGAAAATTAAGGAAATAATATAAGTAGTGAATAAATTGAAATAATAGCGGGGAATTCTGCCACATGATGTCTTGCTCTGGGCTTCATCATCTGGGCGCATCTTGTTGAGGGTGGCCCTATAAAGGCTTTCGGGTGAATGGTATAGACATGCCACCTGACGGGAGAGTATAAACAGCAAGATGGTGAATCTAGTTTCTCTCGTTTGAAGCTTGGAGCAGCTGCAATCAACTACGAAAATCATGGGGCTCATGTTTGCTGTGCGAATTTGAGAAAACGGATCCCATCACAAACGGATACACCGGTTCCGGATCGAGGTATTCCAGCTCGGGAGAATGGAGAAATTGAGCAGGAATTGAAATGGCAATCGAACCATCGGGATTTCTCCGGTGGATTTAAGGTGAAGGCTACTGTACCAGTACAGCAGCCGCACCGCACTCGTACTCGTGCTGTACTAGGGTATGGACGCGGGTGATCAGACGGCAAGGGATTAGAGGCGACAAAGCCTCCTGCTTGTTTGAACAATTTCCACGACAAACCCATTCTTTTATTTCCTATGGGAGTAGTAAGTTCAGACCTCCGAAATCTCGGGCTGTACGATCACCCGCGTCCATATCCGAGCATTCCATGTGATGTGCTGGTACGGTACTCGAGCATGATGGATCACAGGTGAATGTTTCAGTGCGGCATAGTGCCGATGATCAACCGTGATGGGAAAAATCGGGAACGGTTCCTGACCCGGCTAAGCGGATGGAACGATTTCAAAGTAGGCAATGAAATACCGGTACACCGATGAAGCACCGATATTTGTCGAGAGGAACCTGGACTTGGAATGCGAAAAATCAACAGAGAGAAAAACAGCCAAGTCTCACCTTTCAAGGCAGAAGCCTGATAATGCGATAAGTCTGCCGCTGCTGATAGGCTAGGACAGGATAAATGGTATTTCCCCTTTTCGTCTCTCGGATGTTAGGGAGTATCGTTGGGTTGGGGTTTTTTGTAGGTACTGTTGATGGGAATATTAGCTTTGTCGTCCTCACCTCGATAAAAAGACCCAGCGGGGATGCAATGATGTTAGCATAAGCTTCTCTCGAGCGCAAGTACTGTACGAGTACAAGTACGATGCCGGCAGTGGCACCAGATGCGATGATGCGATTGTGATGTCCTCGGACCCTTGACTCGCTTAGACCCGCGCACCCAAAAACCCACGAATTTTAACCTTTTTGGGAAACCAACACATTGCAGTGGCTCATGATGCCATGAAAATAGTCAGCATTTTCAATACCACCATTCACTGGAAAGTGAACTGTTAGTCAGAAAAGATTGCTATGAGTGGTCTACCATCACTCGAAAGTAGTGTAAGAGTACGGTGCACTTTGGGTGGTAGGTTGCGCCAAGAATTTTAAGGAAATCACTAAAATCTTCACCCGAGGTCTTAGTCCATCTTCAAAAATTGTGGGAAAGGGTCGGAAAAGTATGTATGATACCTAGAGTATTTTTTCTTTTTTCCATGGCACATTTCCCGGCTGATGGTATCCGGAAGGTTTGTCCCCAAGTGCATGGTATGATATCCAAGCGGGTTTCTCCATGAGGACCGAGATATGATGACATTGTGATAATATTATGATATTCTGCTTGGGAGTCACACTGGTGGCTTCGTTCCGAAGGATTTGTCTTGGCCAGGGAGGAGGGCATTGGGAAGGTACGGTACTTGAATGCAACGTGCGGGGGGGGTATGGGAAAGGTTTTCTCACCCCAGCTCCGTCCAGGTTCCAACCCTTGTCTCTCGCCCAGTGCTGCAGTGAGTGGTAGTGCCAGTGGCTCTGGGATTGCGGGGGTGACACTCGGGAGAGAGGGGGGGAAGGGGAAAGAGGAGGTTGGTTGGAAATTACAAACAGTAAACGGGGTATCATATGTCAAAGATTTCTTTTGGTGCGAGTAGGTAGAGTGATAGTCAGGAAAATATCGTACGAGTACCGTACATTGGAAGGCACTTTTAGCCTGCCAAGATAGGCTGGAACAACGCTTACTTTTTTGTGCCATCTAAGAAATCGATTTTAACTTAAATCACGTTTTTGCCGAGCCTAATATTTCTCTAAGAATTTCAAAAGGTCTGGTTCATTTTCTGAGGAGAGATTTAAAGAGATTTATTTTCCTATCTTTTGCGGTTATCTTTTTCCCGCCTAAAAGCTGAAGTATTATTTCCCCCGCCCAGATGAAAATGTTGATGGGTCGTAGTTTCATAGCCTGTATGTTTTGGCCAAGGAGGGTATTGGAAAGGTATGCAGCGTGCGGGTGGGTATGAGAGGGGTTTTCTCGACGGATAATACTCAGAACATCAACTACCTATCGAAATGCCCCGTTTGGAGCCATGCGGACACCTCCTCGGTTGCCGAATCAGCTTGGGTGGAGGATGCGTTAAAACGAGCTTGGTACTGTTGGCTTGCATAGTCCGTAACCGCATAGTTGGAAATGAGTCCCACATTCGAAGCAGGATGATCTGGATACTGGACCGAGGATGCGGGTGACTCCTGATGTCTTGTGCACAATATCCGAGAAACAGCGGCATCGAGTTCTGAGGATATTCTGGCGCTGTCTGCAGCTGTCTCGTTACCCCTTTCCCCAAATCTGGATAGGGTTAGGATCCCGAAGCTGATGTCTTTCTCATCATTTGTGGGGATCTCATTGGCCCCCGCCATGAATGAGCCCATTTGGTCCCCTTCTCGGACCAGGCGGCTTAACAGCAAAACTACGATAGCGGTAAAGATGTATTGGCTGTCTGTGAATGAATGGTGCGAAACCCCTCCTAGCTCTTCGAGCTGTTTTACCAGCATTATGTTCCTTCGTGCAGCACTGATACACACACTGACGTGCTCCTCAATATGCGCAGGAAGGCTTGGGGTGTTGTCAGAGGAGAGGCAGAGAGCAGCCGTGCATTGCTTAGCTGCTAGCAGCAACGATGGCCTAGTCGTTAGAATGTACATCTATTCCAGGATTCAAGGCCTTAGTCGGTATTGCGAAGATAGGGTCAGGATAAGCTACCTGGTTGTGCAGTAGGTGCAAGAGAACAACCGAACGCTCCCTTGAAATACCGTTCACTAATTTAATCTCAGGTGGTAGAGTCTCGCTCCATGCGCTGAGCTCTTCATGAACCTTCTCGATGGTTTTAATGACGTCTTGCGTCTCTTTGAGCGGTCCTGAAGGCACCTTACGGATACGATATACCTCTATTGTTCAAGGATTAATCCTCGATACCCGCGGTGCCCGACTGACGAAGAAAGAAACTTACTGCTCACAACATCTCCTATTATCCTGCACAATCGTATGTGGGCAGAAAGGCCGACACCTGACGGTAATGAATCATCCTGGAGGTATGTGAGAAATCGTGAAAGTGATCTTATCGAAAAGTAAAGCTTACAACATCCCTAGGGAGATCTAAGTCAATATCGTCGTCTGATAGCATCACCGGTCTTCCCATAAAACAGCTAAATATCCTATTTTCACTCGCATTAGTGACAGGCACCCCTAGAGAGCTTCATGCTCAGATTTTAGGGTTAGGGTTCAACCTGTCAAGCACATAAATGTTCCAAAATTCACGTTTGCGTTCTTCGTATTCTACTCTCTTTCTGAGCTCTTCATTAGGGCTAACCCCACTACGGTGCCCCATCCCACCCGAAACCCATTCTTTTCGCCATTTGCAATGCAGACCGTGTGCTACTGCCATCCGAATGGCAAGGCCTACATACAAGTACGCGGTATCCCGCCTATTAGCCGATAAGAGATAAAAGGCCATTAGGGTGACTGCCCGGAGACATGGAAGAGTAGCTTCTTCTATTGGATTCACAAGAAGGAGTTTGGCTCGCGAGAAAAATGTCATTCCTGGATGAGGATTTGTACGGGGATATGCTTCCGGGTGGCCTCGTGTGGGATGATAACCTTCCATTTGTGGGGGCACAACTGTCGAACCAGGGACCGTACGCCAGGAAGGCGACAAGGCAGCTAGTCCGTCTTCGATCGGCGGACCGCCTGAGCTAAACGCTGTTGCTTGACAACCCAGAGCCAGAACCATGTTAAGTGTACAGATGGTTGTGTAATCGACCGACGGTACCCCACCATCTACGGATGTACTGAAGGTTGCTCCAGAATACAAGGACTCGATATCCAGGCAAAGTTTTTTTGGGTTAAGCCAATGAAATATCCCGCCGCCAGTAACAGGGTGGCTTGCTGTACCACAGCCATGGAATTTTAAGAATGTTTCCAAGTATTGGAGCACTTGCCCTTTTGGCGGTAAGGCATACGTCTCTGTGACGGGTAGTGATAAGGGCAAATTATCATGACCGTAATATGAGGATGTCATCCAGGAGGATGATTCGATGGGATCAGAAGGAAAACTTTGGCCGGTTACATACCCAGGTTGTCTGGGTAGGAGAGGGAGGGTAGACCGAATGAAGTCTCGGACTTTAGCAAGAAATGTAGCCCCCCCGCAATCTCCGATGAAGCCTACAACCACCGGAGAAAATGAGATCCTAAACACCTTTCGACCACGATAGAGGATTTAAAGGCTTACTGGAGTAATTTTCTGGATCTGTCAGAAACTGTCCCTGTTCGTCCTCTTCCCCATAGTCTTCGTTCGGCGTGGTTGGGCTACGGGGCGCGACATTTCCACTTCCTGACCACGACGGCGATGATGGCCCAACAGCAGAAGAACCCGGAGGGGTAGTGTGGCCTTGGAGCTTTATGCCGAGGCGACTCATAAGTTCTTCACGGACAGTTTGGTCCGGAATACCCTCCACGAGCGCCTTTTCTAGTGCGAGAACCCGTGTTTGCAGTTTTTCGACATAAATTTCTGGGATCACGATCTTGGCCGAGGCCGGGGGGTAAATACAGGGGATGTTGGCAACATAGCATTGCCGACATGGCTGTTCCCCGGTACCTAGATACCAGTTATTACCGGAGGTTTGCTCTATTGTTGAACATATGAATGGTTTATTGGGGGTGATCCTCACATCTAATTTTTCGTGTTTTGCAATGCTCGCATCTAGGTTTCTATTAGCTCCTTATTTTTCTCGGGATCCTATTAGCAGGTGGGGGCAACAAACGCTACTGCAATCCTCTTCCTATCTTCATCGCGCACTTTCGGTCGCTGGCGGTTTGTGCTGGCTCGTCTTCGGTTTGGGAAGTGTATATCTAGGTCACTAGACATCTTTGGAGTGGGTGTGGGGTGTGGATAACGAACAGGGAGGTAGTCGCTATCGTTAGGACGGTTCCAGGGCAGATTGTTGGAGATATGGCAGTTGCCAGGCGGTAAGAGGGTACAGACCTAATTTCAGATCTCGATAGATTATGATGTCTTTTGTAAGTGCCACCGGCTCGTTTGGATTGGTATGATTCGGGAGATGCTAAGTAATAGGTCGTTAGTGTGCGCAACAGGGCAGCTATCATACCAGCGTTGTACGGTCTTAAGCCCTGAGTCAACCTTGAAGCTGCGGCGTGCCATTAATAGCATGCCATGCCAAACCCCATGGCCGGAATCCTGGGCAGCCCCCAAGATTGCTCGATTTGGTGGGGGTTCACGATATCGAGCTTCGTATATAGGAAGGGATCTTGCGTTTCACGAGCGGAAGACACTCACAGAGACTCTGAAAGCTCTAGATCCTTCAGGTGATTAAATCAGTATTTGATAGACACCACTAGCGGAAGAACTTCAGCTAGCTCGAGTGCCGTCAGAACCTTCCAGCTCGCAGTTGGCGGAATGCGCGGACTTGTGAACAAAGCTTGCGGGGCTGCCTACTTTCCTGTCTTAAAAAAGAGTCAGGATGAGGGCAGTGCTTTCTCGGAAGGGTTTAAAGGGCTATCTGTATATCCGGCCCTTCTACAAAACCCGACCTTCCAGGAGGCCTGTGACAATATATACACAAGTACGCCATCACCAAATCTGACAGGATCTTCTCTAAAGCGCCACAGAATGCCTTTGGAGCTTATTTAGATTGTCCTCCAGCTGCTAATATTTAGCTATGTGTTGGGAAACACAGCAGGGGGTTTTCTTGAAACTACCACGTGGATGAGTTCTTATTCTGAATCTTGTGTGGAAGCAAGCAAAATGCTTACCGCGTGGGAGTTCAACAACAGCCTAGCAGTCACTGATAGCACTAACCCCCGACAAGGCTATAGGTGGTCGACTTGCATGTGTATGCATAAAAGAAGCGACTGAGGATTGCTTAAAACAATGGGATACATGACATGGCATGGGGGCATGATATAGCGGGGTATGCTCTCACCAATCTGACTGAACCCTGGCTCCAGCCCTTCTAATTGCGCCCAAATTGAGTTATGGTGCGCATCAACAGAAATCCAGTAGATCCAATACCAGTTGCACCATAACTTAGTTTTTGTGCAAACAGATCTGTTTTCATGCAGAGGCTTCATAGCTAACGTCGTATTTCCCGTCAACTGGGGTTGTGCAACAATTTATTACGTCTTATTCGACAGGTGACTTTAAAAGAATTATCCACCCTTACCGCGAATTAGATAAAATCACTGGGCAAAGACTTCCCGAGCACTGCCTGCATTCTCAGAGCACATTACATGAACACGGAAGCCGGTACCGTGAATCCGGGAATATGCGGAGTTTGTATTTTCTGTCTAGTTCGTTTGTCGAGCGGAGTAACTCCTGGTGAAGAATGAAGTACTATAGTAAGAATGGGGAGTATTGAAACTAGGTTTACAAAAGCAACGCCGCAGTTTCAAAAAAAAAAAGCTCTGCCTTTGAATTAAGCATCGTCAAGGTGTAGTAGGGTGAAAATGCTTATTCTAGTTGAGCGAGGGAAATTTTGATACTAT